TATGGGAAGGGGAGGGGGGTCATTGATTTTGTACATGGCATGCAATTTTGTACACAAGTACTAGGGGGTCACTTATTTTGTACATAAATTTTAGGGGGGTCATTCACATTGTACATGCTTCTCCATAAAATCATCACACACACACACACACACACACACACACATAGTCATAAATTATGAACGGTACCTTATCATCCTTGATCCGTCAGATCCAAATCCTTGATCCGTCGTCAGATCCAAACCTCCTTCTACCCAAGAGGCAAATTTCTACAACAGTGTTTCCTTAGCTTCAACCCAGATTCATTTTCCATGCAACATGTAACTGAAAAACTGTTGATTGGTGTAAAACCAACTCCCATTCTGTAGCTTGGCATAATGACACCTCTTTAAGTAACAATTACAAATATAATGTAGATTTCTTGATACGTTTATGTCAATTTGACGTGCTTAATTCAACAAATACCGTAAGTCCCTTCAAGCCATGGAGTTAACAGTGTTTGAGTCTGTCTTCGCGACTGGTCTGTTCAAACATAGACATGATGGTTCCATGGTAAAGTCTGGGGCCGTGTTCCACAAAGCAAGTATAACACCAAGGTGATCATAACTCCCATGCTTTAACATAGACCAAGGTAGCATTAAGATCAATTTGTGAAATAGTCCAGTTCATCTATGTTGTAGCCTTACAGTATGATGTTCCTGTTGATTGATTCATACCTCTATCATGGAGTGATAATTGATAGTGAATTTTTGTATGAATTATTACTCCATGGTAACTTATTATAGAGTAATAATTCATACAAAAATCAATTATTAATTATTACTCCATGATACCTGTGCGATGACGATCTTCGCGGCAGGTGTGTTCAAACTGACATGATGATGCCGTGGTAAAGTTCCTCAAGGCGAGTATAACACCAAGGTGATCATAACTCCCATACTTTGACATAGACTTGTGACCATCTTCTAAGGTGAGGTGAGGTGAAATTGGGTTTGACGTCGTGCTTGAGAATATTTCGCTCATATGACGACGTGCATGCGTGTGTGTAAGTGCGGCTGCTTTACTAGCCCAGACTGAAGCTGGTTTTATAGTGCTAGCCCACTGAGATACCATGCCGCAGTGAAGCATGAATACCCCACTCAGACACATTATACTGACTCCGAGCCGACCAGTCCTTGTTGTACCCATTAATGCCGAGCGCCAGGCAGGGACCAACAAGTACTATATTTTAACGTCTTTTGGTATGGCGCGGTTGGGTATCGAACCTGCGACCTTCCGCTCTCCAGGCGGACGCTCTAACCACTACACCACGGAGGCGGTCCGTGTGACCATCTTAGCATTAAGATCACTTTGTGGAATGGAGCCCTGTTCCTCTGTGTCAACAGCAGCCTTTCAGTACGATGTTCCTGTTGGTAGTGTTTGATTCATACCTCTGTGATGACGTTCATCATTCCGGCAGGTTCTTAAAACAAGATGAAAGCAAGAGGGCGATATATTCACAGGAGTCCTGTTCATATAAACAGCGAGAAATCTTCAACAATGTCCTATGTGTGTTCTAATCGATGATTGGGGTAATCTAAGAAGACAGGAATTTCTTAAGCACACGCATAAATCTGCTTGTAATGTGTGACTTGCTGTAAGGAATCTTTTGCATTTGTCTGTGTGTATGTGTGTAGGCTATCCACATCTGTCCCAACTGTCAATATTGGTCTAGGTTCTACATCAACACAGTCCTGCACTCTTCTGCACACAGAGGTAGGACAAAGGCAGTGTCTATATGTGCTGCAGATGGCGGCTCTGTACTATGTATAGATGTTTGTTAAACCTTTACATGTTTTGTTAAACTTCTGGAGAGCAAATTGTTAAACTTTTCTCAGATGCTGTAATAGTCAAACCTCCTGAGGGTCTGTGGGGTAGCTCAGTGGTTAAAGTATCTGCTCGTCATGCTGAAGGCCTGGGTTCAGTTCCCCACATGGGTACAATGTGTTAAGCCCATTTCTGGTGTCTCCCAACGAACGTGAAATTGCTGGAATATTGCTAAAGCGGGATAAAACTAACTCACTCACTCACTCACTCACTCACTCACTCACTCACTCCTCACTCACTCACTCACTCACTCACTCACTCACTCTCACTCACTCACTCACTCACTCACTCACTCACTCACTCACTCACTCACTCACTCACTCACTCACTCACTTACTCACTGAAAAAAAATGTTTATTTAATTATTTTGTTTCCATGGTGTCCCCCGACGTGATATTGCTGGAACATTGCTAAAATTGACGTAAAAAACATAATCACTCACTCACTCACCCCAACGGTAGTGTGTCTCATGACAGTATGCACGCACTCACTCACTCACACTCACTCACTCACTCACTCACTGACTCACTCACTCACTCACTCACTCACTCACTCACTCACTCACTCACTCACTCACTCACTCACTCACTCACTCACTCACCCCAACGGTCTCACTCACTCACTCACTCACTCACTCACTCTCACTCACTCACTCACTCACTCACTCACTCACTCACTCACTCAAAGCTGCTGAGACATTGGTTTGGAAGTATGTAAAAAAATATTCAATTTCTGGAAAGTTTGAATGCAAACTTCAAATTCAATGCTTCTTGAACTGCTTGTCTTTGTATGTTCGTATATATTGATGTGAGTCATGTTGAATTGTTGTTGATCAATAAGTTTTTATGAAAAGATGAATCAGAACTTGAGTCAGTTGAGTGACTATATGGATTATGTTTGAGAACATGTAACACCCAATTGAATTTTAACTGGGATACATGCAGGCTGCTTTGATGTTCAATCATGCCAAAAATTGCTCGCTCCAATTCATTCAATGGATCATTTGGGCTCCAAATTGCTGCCAATCACTTGGGATGTAACTATATATTGATGCTTTGGTTATTGCAATTCATCTTGTCTCTTGGATCTTGCATGTCAATTAAAAGATATAAAGAACGGCAGTGCAAAAGAACACCCTGTCTCCACCATCCTCAGAAACAACTCTGTCCAGTGCAAAGGAAAAATTAGCTGTAAAAATTGCATGAATGCGTATCAATTATGAATTCATTTATGAAGCATCAAACTCACCAGGTGACTGTTTATGGCGTTACGTAGTTATTATCCCAGTCACTTGATCATTGCACGTGTGATATTCATTCTCAACTCCCTGAGGAACTCACAACTACATCTTTATCTTGTTTCATTTTTAAAACCTATATTTCTGTTTTGTCAACTGCATGCATGTATTTCAAGGATATTGTCTTTATGAATGTACACTGCAGGATTTACAGAAGGAACTATGGCACACAATATCTGTGGGGGCGGTGGGGTAGCCTAGTGGTTAAAGCATTCGCTTGTCACGCCAAAAGCATGGGTTCAACCCAACTCACTCACTCACAATATCTGTGGGGGCGGTGGGGTAGCCTAGTGGTTAAAGCATTCGCTCGTCACGCCAAAAGCATGGGTTCAACCCAACTCACTCACTCACAATATCTGTGGGAGTGGTGGGGTAGCCTAGTGGTTAAAGCATTCGCTCGTCACGCCAAAAGCATGGGTTCAACCCAACTCACTCACTCACAATATCTGTGGGGGCGGTGGGGTAGCCTAGTGGTTAAAGCATTTGCTTGTCACGCCAAAAGCATGGGTTCAACCCAACTCACTCACTCACAATATCTGTGGGGGCGGTGGGGTAGCCTAGTGGTTAAAGCATTCGCTTGTCACGCCAAGAGTATGGGTTCAATCCAACTCACTCACTCACACTATCTGCCAGTGAAATCAGCTGCTAAGCTTTGGCCGATGTCTGATGCCTTCATGTATGTTGTCAGCAAAGAACACGCCATGAGCAACTGCAGAAATGTTAAGCTACTTCTGTCACTCCTGTAGAATGTGAAATCCTAACAAGGTATGCAAAAAAGAATATAAAAGCATCACCCAAAAAAAGAATAGCCCGATTTCGAGTAACATTCACGAGTTACATAAATAGACACATTTCCTACTAAAGTTCAAAATTAGAAGTCATGGCCTTCGCAGAACATTCATTGTGTGTCCGATATGTAGCAGTGTGGCAATTGCACATCGTAATATATTGCAATGCAATTTCAACTGCTAGTATTCACCCCTTTATTACATTTCCCAATGCTGTGCAAATAAAAAGGAAAGATTGATTGAAATAACCCAATCATGATTTCCCACCTATTTATTCATCCGCTCTATACATAGAAATGTTTCAGCCATGTCGGCGACTCGTATAAAAGTTACACATGTATTGAATGGATCTACTTCGTGACATAGAAGTCTACAGCACCTTAATCTAATGCATCAACTGTGGCGAATACCCTGTCAGTGTATGACATGCAGTTAGTGATGCTGTGATGTGTTTTATAAATACACCATTGATTTGTTCACCGTTACTGTAGTATTTGTGGAAGGAAAAAAAACATGATTAGGGTTTTAGTCCAGGGCCCTGTTCCTCAAAGCGATCGTAGCGCTACGACAGTTGTAAGTCTATATAAAAGTATGGGAGTTACGAAGATGATCGCTTTGAGGAACGGGGCCCAAAAAGGTACAAACACCTTTACCACTTCAGGCTTTTCTCCTTTACAAGTTTGTCCGGGTTAGAATTGGTCTTCAGCAACCCATACTTGTCGTAAGAAGTGACTAACATGATCAGACTCCCTGACTTAGTTGATACATCGTATCCGAGCTGCTTAGGTTGATGCTTATGATGTTGATCACAGGATAGTCTGGTCTAAACTCAATCATATACAGTCTGCTGCCATAAAGCTGGAATATTGCTGAGTGTAACGTAAAACAACAAACCAAAACCCACAATTTTTTTTACAAATTTAGCACTCCATGATATAAAGTTTATTTAGTTCAAAGGTGCATAAAACTCTAACGGTATTACTTTATGTATCTTTGGTATCTTATGTCGCATGAAAACATCATCAATCTGATGTGCTTTGTTATTTTGCAGGGATAATGCCATTGAGGAGATACGACCAATCAGGAACACACTGTGTGATCTCTTGAACATCAGCAGACCAATCATGAAGAAGGTAGGTTCACATTAAAGGAGATGCCAGTCATTTGGATACAAGAGAACTATGTCAACTTGACCTCTAGCCTGGCACTGGCAAACCTTTCAAACTTCATCCACGACCTGGGGTGGTGGGGTAGCCTTGTGGTTAAAGCTCGTCACGCTGAAGACCCGGGTTCAGTTCGCATGGGTACAATGTGTGAAACCCATTTCTGGGTCCCCCGTTGTGATATTGCTGGAATATTGCTAAAAGCGGCGTAAAACTCACTGACTCCCTCATCCTGGATCTGGCCACTTTACACTATATGATCTAGCACTATGTTCAAGTATGGAATTCATGGTGCTAAATTTGCTTTCTGGACTGGGCCCTGTACTTCAGTGCCATAAATATGATATGGCCCATTGGAGCTTAATCAGCTTGTTGATATAATGTGTAGTAGATATCGTGATCAGGTTCTCTGTAATTCCCTCTTAGGCAGTGACGTAGTGTGTGAGCCCTGTCTTTTATGACTACCTGAACATGAACATATGTTGTTAAGATGGAAACAGTGAAGTGAGGGTGTATGTTTGGTTGGCTCCTAAATTTCATCTCCTTTCTCCTCTTCCAAGTTTTATTGAATTTTCTGGAATTTTAACCAAGGGCAGGTAACTCTAACATACTTTCCCCAAATTGAATCCAAATTATGCTTATTGTTTGTGCATGCAAGTGTTTAAGGGTTTGAAAGGACTGTAAGGCCTTGTCAATTCCTGATTGGATATCACTTTATTGAATTTATACATATAGACTTGCTTCATTTAGGGCTTTAGAATTGCTAGGCAGGAGGGAAAATAATGTGGTTCAGGGACTTGCTTCATTTAGGGCATTAGCATTGCTAGGCAGGAGGGAAAATAATGTGGTTCAGGGACTGTGAGACAGGCTAAGGAGGATACCAGTGGTTTGATGTTCCAGAACACAAATATTGTACTATTTGTGTCAGTGTTTTTGAATCATGCAAATGAGTTTCTGAAAAAAGCTACATCATTTTCGATCTCACTCGAAGACCAGAAACAAGCTACTCATTTGTGTACAAAGGACAGGACATTACTTTTGATATTTAGATACATAGTGGGGACAAATTGTTTGAATTCAGAAACTTATTCTTTCTGAAAATTACCTTATAAAACTGCCATATTTGTAACAGACACATTTTTCCCACAGTTTGGAGCATTATGTTCTTTTCGGGCATTTTATAGGACAACTGTTCTTGTTTCATTAATATCCCAGGGCAACACACACACAGACAGAACATTGAAAGTTCAACCTCACACTCAGATGTTAATGTTTTTCCAGAGGCTTGTTACTGATTATGTGAAAGAATTACATGCCAGAGGCTAGTGATATATCCTGTTATGTAGAGTTTAGAATATACTGTGTCTTCATCATTGTCTGGATGGGGTGGTGTGTGATATATCCTGTTGTGTAGAGTTTAGAATATACTGTGTCTTCATCATTGTCTGGATGAGGTGGTGTGTGATATATCCTGTTATGTAGAGTTTAGAATATACTGTGTCTTCATCATTGTCTGGATGAGGTGGTGTGTGTGATGTATTTCATCCTGTGTCATGTAGAGTTTAGAATATACTGTTGTGTCTTCATCATTGTCTGGATGGATGTGATATATCCTGGTGTGTGATATATCCTGTTGTGTAGAGTTTAGAATATACTGTGTCTTCATCATTGTGTGTGATATATCTGTTATGATTTAGAATATACTGTGTGTCTTCATCATTGTCTGGATGTGTGATATATCCTGTTGTGTAGAGTTTAGAATATACTGTGTCTTCATCATTGTCTGGATGGGGTGGTGTGTGATATATCCTGTTGTGTAGAGTTTAGAATATACTGTGTCTTCATCATTGTCTGGATGGGGTGGTGTGTGATATATCCTGTTGTGTAGAGTTTAGAATATACTGTGTCTTCATCATTGTCTGGATGGGGTGGTGTGTGATATATCCTGTTGTGTAGAGTTTAGAATATACTGTGTCTTCATCATTGTCTGGATGGGGTGGTGTGTGATATATCCTGTTGTGTAGAGTTTAGAATATACTGTGTCTTCATCATTGTCTGGATGGGGTGGTGTGTGATATATCCTGTTGTGTAGAGTTTAGAATATACTGTGTCTTCATCATTGTCTGGATGAGGTGGTGTGTGATATATCCTGTTGTGTAGAGTTTAGAATATACTGTGTCTTCATCATTGTCTGGATGAGGTGGTGTGTGATATATCCTGTTGTGTAGAGTTTAGAATATACTGTGTCTTCATCATTGTCTGGATGGGGTGGTGTGTGATATATCCTGTTGTGTAGAGTTTAGAATATACTGTGTCTTCATCATTGTCTGGATGAGGTGGTGTGTGATATATCCTGTTGTGTAGAGTTTAGAATATACTGTGTCTTCATCATTGTCTGGATGAGGTGTGTGATATATCCTGTTGTGTAGAGTTTAGAATATACTGTGTCTTCATCATTGTCTGGATGAGGTGGTGTGTGATATATCCTGTTGTGTAGAGTTTAGAATATACTGTGTCTTCATCATTGTCTGGATGAGGTGGTGTGTGATATATCCTGTTGTGTAGAGTTTAGAATATACTGTCTCTTCATCATTGTCTGGATGAGGTGGTGTGTGTGATATATCCTGTTGTGTAGAGTTTAGAATATGCTGTGTCTTCATCATTGTCTGGATGAGGTGGTGTGTGATATATCCTGTTGTGTAGAGTTTAGAATATACTGTGTCTTCATCATTGTCTGGATGGGGTGGTGTGTGATATATCCTGTTGTGTAGAGTTTAGAATATACTGTGTCTTCATCATTGTCTGGATGAGGTGGTGTGTGATATATCCTGTTGTGTAGAGTTTAGAATATACTGTGTCTTCATCATTGTCTGGATGAGGTGGTGTGTGATATATCCTGTTGTGTAGAGTTTAGAATATACTGTGTCTTCATCATTGTCTGGATGAGGTGGTGTGTGATATATCCTGTAGAGTGTGTCTTCAGTCTTAGAATATACTGTTTAGAATTCATCATTGTCTGGATTGGGTGGTGTGTGATATATCCTGTTGTGTAGAGTTTAGAATATACTGTGTCTTCATCATTGTCTGGATGGGGTGGTGTGTGATATATCCTGTTGTGTAGAGTTTAGAATATACTGTGTCTTCATCATTGTCTGGATGAGGTGGTGTGTGATATATCCTGTTGTGTAGAGTTTAGAATATACTGTGTCTTCATCATTGTCTGGATGAGGTGGTGTGTGATATATCCTGTTGTGTAGAGTTTAGAATATACTGTGTCTTCATCATTGTCTGGATGAGGTGGTGTGTGATATATCCTGTTGTGTAGAGTTTAGAATATACTGTGTCTTCATCATTGTCTGGATGAGGGTGGTGTGTGATATATCCTGTTGTGTAGAGTTTAGAATATATACTGTCTTTCATCATTGTCTGGATGGGGTGGTGTGTGATATATCCTGTTGTGTAGAGTTTAGAATATACTGTGTCTTCATCATTGTCTGGATGGGGTGGTGTGTGATATATCCTGTTGTGTAGAGTTTAGAATATACTGTGTCTTCATCATTGTCTGGATGAGGTGGTGTGTGATATATCCTGTTGTGTAGAGTTTAGAATATACTGTGTCTTCATCATTGTCTGGATGAGGTGGTGTGTGATATATCCTGTTGTGTAGAGTTTAGAATATACTGTGTCTTCATCATTGTCTGGATGAGGTGGTGTGTGATATATCCTGTTGTGTAGAGTTTAGAATATACTGTGTCTTCATCATTGTCTGGATGAGGTGGTGTGTGATATATCCTGTTGTGTAGAGTTTAGAATATACTGTGTCTTCATCATTGTCTGGATGGGGTGGTGTGTGATATATCCTGTTGTGTAGAGTTTAGAATATACTGTGTCTTCATCATTGTCTGGATGAGGTGGTGTGTGATATATCCTGTTGTGTAGAGTTTAGAATATACTGTGTCTTCATCATTGTCTGGATGAGGGTGGTGTGTGATATATCCTGTTGTGTAGAGTTTAGAATATACTGTGTCTTCATCATTGTCTGGATGAGGTGGTGTGTGTGATATATCCTGTTGTGTATATATCCTGTTGTGTAGAGTTTAGAATATACACTGTCTTCATCATTGTCTGGATGAGGGTGGTGTGTGTATATATCCTGTTGTGTAGAGTTTAGAATATACTGTGTCTTCATCATTGTCTGGATGAGGTGGTGTGTGATATATCCTGTTGTGTAGAGTTTAGAATATACTGTGTCTTCATCATTGTCTGGATGAGGTGGTGTGTGATATATCCTGTTGTGTAGAGTTTAGAATATACTGTGTCTTCATCATTGTCTGGATGGGGTGGTGTGTGATATATCCTGTTGTGTAGAGTTTAGAATATACTGTGTCTTCATCATTGTCTGGATGAGGTGGTGTGTGATATATCCTGTTGTGTAGAGTTTAGAATATACTGTGTCTTCATCATTGTCTGGATGAGGTGGTGTGTGATATATCCTGTTGTGTAGAGTTTAGAATATACTGTGTCTTCATCATTGTCTGGATGAGGTGGTGTGTGATATATCCTGTTGTGTAGAGTTTAGAATATACTGTGTCTTCATCATTGTCTGGATGAGGTGGTGTGTGATATATCCTGTTGTGTAGAGTTTAGAATATACTGTGTCTTCATCATTGTCTGGATGAGGTGGTGTGTGATATATCCTGTTGTGTAGAGTTTAGAATATACTGTGTCTTCATCATTGTCTGGATGAGGTGGTGTGTGATATATCCTGTTGTGTAGAGTTTAGAATATACTGTGTCTTCATCATTGTCTGGATGAGGTGGTGTGTGATATATCCTGTTGTGTAGAGTTTAGAATATACTGTGTCTTCATCATTGTCTGGATGAGGTGGTGTGTGATATATCCTGTTGTGTAGAGTTTAGAATATACTGTGTCTTCATCATTGTCTGGATGGGGTGGTGTGTGATATCCTG